AGGTATGCCCTGAGTTCAAATCAAATGGTGTTTGAACAACAGATTTCAAAAGGAGATATTAAGCAACTGACTGGTGAGCATTCCCTAAAAATACAACTATGCGGAACCCACAGTGTTAAGGTTATGTTAAGAAAAATACCATATTTATTTTATTAAAAGCATCTTCAATAGAAGCACACGTAAATTAAATTGCATAAATTGTTAACTGGATTATCAAATTATCTTTTATTTTGACCACAGACTCTATTTACATAATCTCATGCACTACTAATAGACTAAATATGGTATAGTGTGTGGTACATGCATCAGTTTGAAATGCTGTACTTAGAAGTTGTTATTTATTTGAAAAATGGAAGGGAATGTGCCTGCCATTGGTGGCACTATGTCATGTTCATTCATGCGAATGACTTTCAAAACCTTTTGAGCATAAAGTTTGTTTCCCGCTTAATTTTAATAAATTTGATCATATTTTCTGTAATTCTCACTGAATTCAATCTCAATTTTGAACCAAACAGACAAAATGTGGTGTTGCTTCTAGTTTTTAATCAAAAAACATTTCAAATAGGAAAGAGCAGACTATAAATGCAACTAGTTTGTGAATGGTGCCTGAAGTTTACTTTAGCACTCAAAGAGTTAAATATTTCATTTATAAAAAAAAATACATCACTGAAACGTTTTTTTTAAGAAACTTTGTACCTGGAACAGATCTATTTTTTTTGTCTTAGCATACATGGAACATATTTTCATATTGGAAAGTTTTAATGCCACTGTAAATACATTAATTATTCACTGGGTTTTAATTTTGCTATTTTTGCTGATAAGTAAAACCTGCTAAATTAATTCTACGTGAACATGTAAAATAACAATAAAACTCATTGTTTCTTGGCAAATTCATAAAATTAAAACACAGTAAATAAGCTCAAAACATCAAAATAGTAAAATTAAATGTTAATGAAAATAAATGGTTTTACAGTATTTAAAAAAATCTACCGGGGGGTATATTAATTTGATAAATGGTTTTAGTTATGTCAAACTGTCAATTATATGCATTGTATATGCCGACTGTCCTTAATGTATGTAAAAAATCCCATCATCCTTGTCATTCTGTACCATTGCCTTTAAACAAAAATAGAGTCACCATACCAGACATTATAAAGATTCAACCATATTCTCCTGGTGAAACCTTCTAATGGGCTTAAAGAATACCGCATAATATGCTACAAATGGATAGATTCAGGATGGAGTTTGTTGATTTGGATTTGTTTGTTTTGAATTCTCATCCTCCATTGAGAATTGCTACCAGCTGTTTATGTTACAGTATAGACTACATCTGTTTGCAGGTAGCCATATGGGTATAGCTAGCTCAGGTGGACCAGTTTACCTAATTTCTGTGTTGAACATAATATCTCTTAATACATCTCAGAACATTATTCAGATTATTATCACATTTTAATCACTCATTACATACAAATTGTATAGTTTGGATTCATCCTTTTTTGGGCCTGTGCTAGAATGTAGAAAATACTAAAATGGGTAATTTTGTGTATTTATATTTGTCTTTCATATACCGTTTTAAAGATATTTGAAAGAACCCCCCCCTCACCAAACCAGTCCCAACACTACCCCTAGCTCATGTTTCAACTGCTACACAGAGGGCGCTGTTTCAAATAAGATCAGTGCTCCACAAGTATTTAGTTGTCTCTGATAAGTAAAGGTAAATTCACATGGGAAATGAGCTTTTTCCATGAAAAAAAAAACTTTAGGATTTCTACATACCTGTACTCTCTAAATACACATACACCAATGTTCTTATTGGGTAATGTTAAGCCCCCCCCCCCCCCTAGTGTTACATTTCAA